GATAGATAGATAGATAGATAGATAGAGATATATAGATAGATCGATAGATCGATAGATCGATAGATGGGTAGGGATATATAGATAGATCGATAGATCGATAGATCGATAGATGGGTAGAGATATATAGATCGATAGATAGAGGGAGAGATAGATAGATACTAGATAGATAGATAGATAGATAGACAGATAGATAGATTGATACATAGAGAGGCGGTAGTGGTGCAAACCTGATTGGTGGAGGCAGTTGCGAAGGGAACGCTTGTGGCAGATGAGGTGGCTGCAGACACAGTGGCTGGAGTACCACCATGCATCATGGGAACTTTTTTGGAGGGAAAATCATGTAAGCAAAAATACACAGAGGAGCAGTGTAGCCACATACACACCAGGCAAATGAGGGAAGGAGAGAAGAGGGACACAGAGAGGGATTCGATTTAACGGTTCCCTTTCCTCCCTCTGCCGACATCTCGTGTTTGGAGAACTGGATTTGCCGTTTTTACTTAAACATTTGTCTGTTTTTAAAAAACTGTACGACTTATTCTATACTTTCTTGGTTGATACTAAATGAGAACTACCTTTATTTTATTTTATTTTATAAAAAAACAACATACAAATAAAAAGTGGCGTAACATGAGTCTTAGAGTCTTTATGGCAGAGGAGATAACAGGAAGGTTATAATTGAACTCCCTCACTATTTTAAATTATTTTTAAAGGGGTCTTAATCGATGTCAGGTTAGACCAGCCAGAAGCCAAGTTTAGAAGAGCATGAGAACGAGAGTGGTCAAGCAATATACAGTAGGTGTACACAGAGAAATTAACACAATAAATGTCAGTTAGTCTGATATTTTGGTATCATTTTAACAGGTAATATACAACATTTACATTTCACATTATGTCTTTCCTCATGTGGACTCTTGCTAATTCGTCACATCACAAAAAGTGTCTTCACGCGACCAAAACAGTGACTCTCACGTCACCAAAATCTCATATTAACAAGACAAAGCGTCTGTGAACGCGACACGGTAGAACGTGATGGCCGGATTTTGATGGCGTGTGAGTCGCGGACATGAGGTAACAGATAACTGAAGAAGGAAAGCTGGAACCTACCAACGCTGGTTGCAGGTGTCATGCACAATATTGAGCCTGCCCATCATGCAGTGCAACAGGAAGTGGATTGGATAGGGGAGAGAAATCAAAACAGCCCGTCACAAGGTTCGTTAGAGTGAGGGGGGGAGAGATAAGGTGGGAAAAAAAAGGTTAATATCTCTTTGACACAGTCATCAGTGATTGGAAAAGGCGAAGGGTTGAACTCATCATAGTCTGTTAATCAAATGAAAGTATGAGTACAAACTTTTGTCTGAAGTGTAATGCATATGAATGTGTAATACACCAAGAGTGACAGTGCAATTATGGTTGTGACTATTTAGTATTAAACATTATATACACACTCTAGACAGAAGTAAGAGGAACAGTAGATGAAGCCAGACTCTGCAGCCTGATGTTGTTTTTTTGTCAAGATACCATTAATCAACCCATCCAGCCCCCTTCATCCCGGCCCAAGCCAAAGCCCCAGCCACGTTGTCTCATCAAAACATGAGCGATCGCACCGTGGGCTCTTTGATCAAGTAGTAAAATCTCCTTTTCTCTGACAAACATCCATGCCTTCCTCAATCAGCCTGCGTGTACGAGGAGAAGCAGGAGGCAGCTATGTAAAGTTATATTAAGGCAATTAGTAGGCAAAGAGATATTCTAATCTGTTCTCAACACCTCTAGTGATCATGCAGTGCCATACAAAGCATAATGCACAATTGTGTTAAAGCATTAAAGTTCAGGTTCACCAAATATAAAATCTGTACCCTCCCTTTATCTAAATTTAAAAAGGAAGAAAATAGTCCACAGCTGATCTGTTCTGCAGTCTACCACTTTGCACAACTCCAGTTAAACAGAAGCCAGGTCACACTGATCCAGGCATCCTCTGGGCGGCCAGAGCACTAGCGGTGGTTGCTTTCGGAGCCATACCTGATGGGAGGAAAGCAGCCTGCTGCTGAAACTGCATGTTGGCCAGCGCCTGCTGGTACTGGAGCATGCCAGTGTTAAACATGGCAGAGGCCCCGTTGGCCTTTTCCAGGGCTGCCCGCTTAGGCAGGGGAGCCATGACACTAGGGGCGATGCCCTGCTCAGCCAGATGGAGGGAGGTCAGTGAGAAAGGAAAAAAAGAAAAAGAAAGAGAGAGTGGTGTGTGGAAAAGAGAAAGAGAGTTGGAGTGTTGGAGAGAGGCAAAAAAAAGAAAACAAAAAAGGGTACATACGTTAGAGAACATCATAGGAACAGCGTCACAACATCCTTGTGTGTAGAACAACAACAATATCATCATCATATCATCAGTAGCAAGCAAGCAGCAGTCTGACACAAGTACTACACAAGCAGGAGCATGGTGCCTACTGGAGCTACTGGCTAACAAGCATTAATTCTAATTATATTATCTGAAAGCTTACTTAGATTCATTACCTCTGTACTCCTAAGACTGACTAAGTGCAAAATAAGCAAGCATTAACGTTTAAAACAATAAGGCTGCTAACAAGAGGTGGAACAGGTAGGAAGCACAGAGAGAGGGAGGCTGCACTGCTAGCTCCATGATAAACTGTGTAAGCCATGTTTAAGTGATGGTTCACTCTCAGGCACGTTTCAAAAATGGTCTCAGGCCAAGCGACATGAGTCACAAAGACTGTGGATAAAAAAGTGTCAGACGTTACACCATGAAATTCTCTGCATGTGGATTTGATCTTGGAATGAGGCCATTCTTGAAGTCTGAATATCTGTGAGAAAAGATTTGATGATGGAGTGAACTATCATTTGAACTGTACCCATCTGTTATGGTGGGATCAATCCTGTATGATTTTAAAGACTGTTCCTCTTAGCCCCACCCTTATCCATCTGACATGCACTAGCGACACAGACATGCACACATTTGATTGAGCTGCTCCACAACACTGACCACTGACTCGGACGTTAAGACTGAAGCCATGCCACCATTATAGAAGCTCTACTTCCCTAGCTCTCACTGACTTTTGTTAAACAGGCGACAGGTGATGAAGTGATTGTGGCTCCTTGTCCCACATTTGAAATTGTGTCTGAGGTAGTTTATACGTGACTGTTTAATTTTTTTTGGGGGGGGGCGGCGGCACCGAAAGCCACAATCATTTCATCACAGGCAATAATGACAGTTTCAACAGGAGGAAAAGACAGACATTGCACTGAGACAACGACAACAAAAATAGCTAGGTATCTTTGGTTAAAACACTGCTCTACAACAAAGCCACATGCCAAGCTAAAAGGTGAAAGGTCATAGTACCAGGTCAAAGGTTGCGTCGAGGGGTCGCTTCAGTGATTTGACAGCCGACTGAGTCTTAATTAGCAGGCAGCGAGCACATGATGGCAATGGGCCAATGGGGTTCAAGCGCATTAACATAAACCAGCAAGCAGAGGTGCATCATGGGGGCAGCAGTGCAGTTTGGGTATAGGTGAGAAAAAACAAAAACAAATAAAAAACAAATCATTGGAATGCAATATACAAGGGGAGAACAGGACTAAGGCATGCACAGTGTGGACACTAGCTCTGCTGCTCAACAGTTACATGATCATCAATAATCAATGATAACTACTAATCTACATTAGTTATTGGCACACAAAGATGGATGGATACAGCAATGAGAAAATTATTCAATCATTACTTTAAGTGGGTCTCAGTAATGTTGGACAGAATGTATAGTTTATAAGTTTCTGTTTCACTATGTAGTCATGGTCATATTAAGGTGATTCACCCTGAGTCAATAAGAGCACGAAGAGTGATCAACAGACAGAAGTGTGGCTGCACTATTATTCACAGGTGCTTTTACTGCAGCACAATGAATCCCTTTTTTTAAAATAATGTCAAGAGGAAGAGAAGTACAGTAATAGATAGGAAGAACAGAAACAATCGAGTCACAAATAAGACCAGGGCACCAGAGAGAGGTAGACAGAGGAAGTGACTCTCTGCTTGTGGCCTGGGATTAGATGAACACCTCACTTCAGGGACGAGCAATGACAAAATTAAGAATGTGCCATGGTCCCACCCTTCTTCATATCATCCAGCTCCAAGGAGATTTTACCCAAACCCACATGCACACCTTTAAAATTTGACCTGGCAAAAGCAGAACTGAAAAGCTACATGATACAAACCAGGTTGGTGAGACACATTCAAACATGAATGTGAGTGTGAGCCACAGAACATATTCCTTTGTAGGTCATTTCATTTATAATAGAAGTACATTTAAAACTTACTGAGAATATGGCTGTTGTGGGGGTGTGAATGAGTGGGTGCCCGCGCTCGTACAGACTGCTCACCATGGCTGCGGCGGCTGTGGCCTGGTTCACCTGGTGCTGTGTCGCCTTGATTTTAGCCTGCAGGTGGGCTGGCGGGTGAAAGTACTTGCACTTTTCCCGGGAGCAGCGGCCCTTGATGTAGTCCATGCACACGGTGACGGTGTTGTCGTTGGTGTCGATCATGGTGCTGTCGGCTGGGTGGGCGAAGCGACAGTCGTCCTCGCCCCGGGAGCAGTTGCCCCTCTGGTACTCCCGACAAACCTGGAGATGAGGTGAGAAACAATGAAACGAGAGGCCAGGCACAGTATGCGGGTACAGCAGAAGAATAGTTGTGTATTTGTTGTTTGACTCATCAAGTTTTCAGAGTATAAGTACCAAAATCCATTTCACTTAAAAATTCATGAGACCTACAGTCCAATAAATAGTTCAAAATGCATTACAAGATCGTATTCTTCTTGCTGTGAGAAAGCAAATGCGAAGCCCAAGATCTACACAGACATACTGTTTACAATGTACTTCTTGTTTTCCAACTTCTGTTAGATATCTAGTTCCTATATTTGGTCGTGCATGGAGATTACACTGAGGAAGTTCAAGGCTACACTGAAACCTCTGCACTCATTATAAAGATCTTCTATATGAGGAACTGTGGCGTGTTTCCTGGAGTGTGAGTAACTCTCAACCCTCAAACACATTTAAAAGTCCATATTTGAGACACCAGAGGGCAGCACTTTCTTATGAATCAGAGTCAACATGAATGCATGGGTATTACGTGGCTGCTATTTCCCTTATTTCTGTGCCGACGCTGGTCTCAACAGATCTGCCACAAACATGTTTTGCTCTGATCAGGGGTTACAGTTGTGAGTTTGATGAAAAAGAAGGTGCCTCTTTGCCGTTTTTTTAGTCTATTACTGTACCAGCACTTTGGAAACCATTACTGCTTCCTACACTCAAATAAATACTCAACAAGTTCAGGCTCATTTCTGGTGCTTCTCTAGTGTTGTCAAGCAAACGAAAGCACAAACGATATTGAACAAGACGAGGCTGAATAAATGAGAGTGAAAGTTCATCAAAACAGCATCCAACTCTTATTACAAAACAACTCGAGCAAATAAAATATATTAGTGTATGTGCATGGACTCATTCTAATTTTATTTTAATAAGCTTTCACTTTGCATCGCAGTACTTGTTATTAATATTACAAATCAGTTTCAGAAATAGTTCATGCAAGTTCAATGGTTGTTGTTTTTCTTATGCTTGTTTAACCACTTGTTAACTGCACTTGTCTTGTTTATGGGCTCATTAAATCCTGGGCGACACCACTCCCAAGAGACACACAAACATGACGTACAGTTGAATAGAGCTATCACTAGAAAATTCTCAAAGTAGGGAGTTCTTTGCCACATATTACCCCCTTGCTCCAAAACAAAATGTTGAGAAAACCACATTGTATCCATTAGTCTGTCTGTTACCTCAAGTCTGTCTGTTCTCAGAAGTTTCTGGGCAGCAGCAGCGGCAGCGTTGGGAACTTGGCCGACATTGGGGCTTGAGGCCATGAGGACAGGGGTGCTGGGTAGGATCTCTTGCGGCATCAGGCTTGGTGACACAGGGCTCAGGTAGGGATTAAAGGCCGCGGCTGCGACTGCTGCTGCTGCACTGGCATTGGTGGCCAGGCCTGGCGTCACCGAGAACATGGGCTGGATGAGAGCAAAGGAAAAGCAGAGAAATGAAACCACTGTGGATAAAACCGGTGAAAACCCACAAACGAAAACGGGAAAATAGCGGGGCTGACGGAAAATGACAGAAAGAGCCACAGACAGTGAAGGAGCTGTATATGTGTGAGCTTTTACATTGCATGTGGTCTCACCATGGGCAGTAGCTGTGCTGTGTTCATACGTGTGTGTCCTCTCACCATATGGGGTAGCTGTGTGCCGGGCATCATGGCATTGAGCTGCATCTGCTGTGCCAACATGGCCATGTTCTTCTGCTGGATCAGGTTGTTCCTGCCATTGATCTCCAGCTGGGTCTTTAGGTGAGGAGGAGGGTGCAGATACTTGCAGTTCTCCCTGGAACAACGGCCCTAAAGGAGGAAGTGACAAAATGCACATATACTGTAAGTTAGGCTGTATTCATATTGAAAATGTGGTATCTGTAAAAAATACGGACAACTATATGATGAAAAATAAAGGGTAGAGGTGCTGTTTTCTTTACTGTCTCATGAACCGGGCTGAGATCCTGCCACGCTGACTTCTTTAAAAATAAATATTTCGTTGTGGTTTCTATTTCAACCATGATCATGTTCCATGTAACTATACATTTGGAAATGTAAGAGAATGGAGAAATGTGTAAGGGGGTTATATGTGAAACGTAAGCTCAGTACCTTGTTTATAGCTAGCTCAATGTCAGACATTCAAAATTGACAGTAGGTTCTGGGCCGGGTCTCGCACTAATTGTTACGAGCTTGCTATTTCTGTAGGTCCCAGCAGGGACATGTGAACGTGTGTGCATGTTTGTGTTGTGTGTTGTGTGCGTGTGTGTGTGTGCGTGCGTCTGCACTCGCCCCAGGTGGTCATGACACTGTGGTGCTGCTTTCAAGACATCCAGCTTAGCTACATGTTTAACTGACACTATAAATACTGCCCTCATATGATCCGTATGTATATTATATCAGCAGTCATCTGGAGGTCACACTTCAAAGCCTTTGAATAATTATCTCAGACAGGGATCCCTTTTTGCTGCCTGCTGTGAGTCTCCAATTATAACTTCAGTCTGGGGAAGGAGGAGTTTAGGAAGAAGTCTGACATACATACACGCACCAGCAAGAATGCATACTCAGTAAAACGTGCAGATCAAGGTCGTGTTCCCCTAACAGGTGGCCGATCACGCAAACATCGGAGAAATGCCGACACAAATACGTCCACGGTTCAGGAAAGACATGTATGTACTTTCAGCCCTGCGGCGCAGCTGAGCTGACTGTGGCAGCCTGTGCCCTCCCTTGCTGACAGAGCTGTCCCCAGTGGGACTCAGCTCTAAACTCTGTCATGACTTCATTCCATTCTCCCATCTCTCCCACACTTTCACTGACACTGGATCAGCAGACAGGTGTGAGGGGAAACGAGGGGGAGATTAGGAGCAGGGAGTGAGACACTTAAATGACAGGGGGGGAGCTCTTTATGCTATTTTGTTTAATCCACTCGTCTGAAGTTTAAATTTCAAGCTCTCTTTAGGTCCCCCTTTTTGACACGAATACAGCATCAGTGGAGCAGGATTACAGCCCCTGATTTCTTTCCTAATGCCACAGCACATAGATGGAGAGTTTGTCAGTGGTCTGTTTCCACATAAAATGTCCGGTGGTGAGCTAAATAAAGTGAAGCATAAATAAAATTGGTGTTTATACAGCTTTGAATCCACATTTAAAGGCGAGATTTTGTGTTAACTGAGTAAAGAAAAATTCAACCGAGGCATAACCTTTCCGTTAACAAGACTGACCAGGTTGTATGCCAATCACTCTACATACGCTGAGCTTGCATTCAGAACAGTGTCTGACACTGACAGCGCTGAGAGGTGTGTGCGTGGGCAAGTGTTTCATGTCATGTGTGTGAGACGAGGAGCTGAAAGCAGGTTCTAATAGAGTGAGAATGGCATGCGTCGGAGGGAGAGTGAGTTTGTTGAGAGTGCATGTGTGTGTGTGGAAGGGGGGCTGGTTGCGAAAGCATGGAGGATCACGTTGCTTTTACCCCACATAACCCCGTCTGTTGACCTTTGGCTCAACAACTGCAGCTGTAAACGCGCGTGAGTGTGTGTGTGTGTGTGTTAAAGGTTATAGGGATGTGTTAAAGAAAGAAATACGTGGTTTTGACTTTAGCTCACAACATTTACCTTCCTGCTGAATCATCCAAAGGGAAAGCAATCAACTAACACTGGCTGCCATTTTGAATTAAAAATCAGGTCCCAGGAGAGGAAACGTCAGGCTGCATGATTGTTACACACAGAGAGAGAGAGAGAGAGAGAGAGAGAGAGAGAGAGAGAGAGAGAGTCATAGTAACTCTGCATAGCAAGAGCTGCATAGGCTGCGTCAGGGAAATTTTAGAACTTGCAGAAGACGTGATCAGTCTGGGTCATCACATGCAGGGAGGAGAGAGGGAGAGGAATGGAGAGGCAGACATAGATGGGAGGAGGAGGGGAAAGAGGAGGAGGACGTTGCCCCTCACATCATGTTTGTGACTGTTTTTTGTGACATCAGCGGCCTTGAGGAGCAGCTAGAGACGGTGTCCACGGCAACAGAGCAGCCAGTCACTCCTGCTCTCACAATGCTGTGATTCCTGGAATCTTGCTGATGGCTGGTAGATACGGGAACTCCGCAGAGATAACACTACAAATACAGACCACAAGAGTAGAGGGCATCCACAGTCTGCCCCGGTCTGTTGTGGGTATTTTTTTATATCTGCGTTATACAACTACCTTATAAAGCTGTTTCTCCAGATAAATACTACAGATATCATCTATATACTTTTCTAATCACTGACTGTTTTGTCACCATTGAGAGAACTGAAGATGAGAGTTACATTATTGTGTCACTATTTAAAGGCAAAAAAAAATCAGATGAGCTATAGAAACCCATAGAAAGCTTCTAGCCACATTTTTTCCATGTCACTGTTTGAGGAAATACCTGATGAGAATGTGATTAGTGAATATACTGATTTGTCATTGCTCTGTGCTTATGCCAGAAATGATGAAAACAATAAGGCATGCAGCTTGGGAATGATTCATCCACGTCATTAGTTCAGTCCCCAGAGTCCACAGTCAGTGCAGCCTGATGAGCAGAGGGCAGTTACAAATTTGCTTTTACAAACATGTGTTCTAGGAATGTTTAATTTTTTAAACATTATAGGTGCCAAGGTTGATATTAGTTTCACAGCAGCTATACCCTGAGCCTTATGGCAAGAGATCCTGACCACAGTGTTTTACCAAGGGCCAAATAATCCGAGATAAAAACACTGAAAGATATATTAAACTTTAATACCTCTAAGAAATTGTTATAATAAAATGTCTAAAAATGTCAAAATGATTGTAATTGTAATTAATGGTTGCTTTTGTAGTGGATACAAAAGTAAATATCAAATAGTTGTATATCTCAGTTTGAAAAATATTTTCATAAAAGCGCATTAATGCACAAAAATATTTAGAACCAAGCCAAGTTTTAATCTAAAATACAATATCATATTATTTTGTTCTATTGCCAAGTCAATCACAACGTATAAGAAAGCATGGCCAAACTTAACAAGTACACGGTGCTGGACAGAAGAAAACCAGAAGACAAGAAATGTTCCCCCACCAGTTGAGGCTGTCAATAACTTTTTAAAGAATTCCCAGTTAATGTTTCGGGCACAAGAGTAATTAGCTAGTGTCTAATTTCTCGACATCTGATATTGTCAAGTCAACCCTTTTTTTTTTTTTTTATCAACTTGCTCCTGCTGCTCTACTGACCCCCCTTCAGCTCAGGCTGTATTTTGTTTTATCACAGGGGGGGTCGTCTGTTTTTCCCCTGCTGAGATCTAACTTGCCAAACTCCAGGCCAAACTGGGAACAATAATCCCACAGGCTACCGTGCACTCCGATTGATGATAAGTTGTAATAACATGTCCCACCCTGATCGCTCTCTCTCTCTCTCTCCAAACTCTCTGTCTCTCGCCCTTAGTCACACACCCTGCTTTTGTGACTGTGTGGGATTTAAACAAACAATGAACCAATGTATAAAGAATGCTGGGTGGGTCTGTATCCCAACCTTTTGAGGAGATGAGATGAAGCATGCAGCAAGATGCAGTAATGCGCATGTGTGTAAGTGAGCGACTGAGAGGAAAAGTAAAACAGTGGAATAGTGAAGAATAAGGGCAACAGTAAAATGAATCTAATAAAACAGCAGCTCTCAACATTTTTGACTCGTGATTGTTGCTGTGGTTGGTTTGTAAACCACCAAGCACTTTAGATCCAGAATACATCACTGTCTGCTATGAACTGTTGCTGGGAAATGTCTGTTTGGTATCAGGGTGAAAGCAAAACAGCAGCATTCAGTTTATATGCTTCATATCTGGGACAATCTACCTGAAAAAGTAAGTCTGTCAGAAGTTGTTTTATCCTACATCTTGAAACTTTAAATTCTTTGAAAAACTGCCGTTGGATTAAATTATAAGAATATTCATTAACCTCATACACTGCATTAGAACAGTCTTATTACAAGGTGTCTTTATACATTGCCTCATATTTGTTTTTAAGATCTTGTCTTAAAGTCTTATGTAAAACACGTTAAATTGCCTTGTTGTTGAAAGGTGCTAATAAATAAATGTTTCAATAAACTCTGTTTAAAACAAAGCTACATAATATATTCTAACAGACTGCATATGTTAGTGAGTACAACCAAAGATTGATTCTTGTTTTTATTTTAATAATTTAACAGTGGCCTGAGGAGGTAAATTGTATAATACACAAAAATAAAACCCAAATTAGAAAAAAAGGAACAAGAATCTTCTCATGAACCATTAGATCTCTCATGTGACCTTTCAGAGGGTCCCAACCCCCAGATTTGGAACTACTATAAATAAAGTTTCCTGCAGGCGTCAGATTGTGTCCAAAACCTTCTTCAAGGTTTATTAATTCATTCCAGTTACCTCTAGATGTTTATCTGTTTTGCACTCCTGATATGAAGCATCACCAATTAATGTATGTTAATTCGACATAATAATATACTGCATATCATCTTTCACAGTTACTCATTATACCCACATCCAGTGTTGTGCTGGATTCAGTCGTGTGGGGTTCTGGTGTGGAGCTACGCTGCTCTCTGCCCTGTGTTCCTGTGACTTCTGTCTAAACATACGCAGAGATGAAAGCCCCGTCTCCTCACACATACTGTGAGGGAAGCTTTGTTCTGCTGGAGAGCAAAGCAAAGACTCAAAGGAGTGAGCTCAGTGGTCAGTCTCTCCGTCTATACTGTGAATTAAATATAAAACATATCAACTGACCAAGTGCTGATCATCTTACAGGGCATCCGGACAGTCAGTAAGACAGCTTGCAAATTACTTG